GGCAAAATTCCGAGTTTGACCAACCCACCCCCCTCCCAAAAAAAAATATCTTTTTAAAGATAGTGCAAAATCCAGTGTCTAGCACCCAAAAAAATAAAAATGGCACAAAGATTTTCTTTTTCCCCCCCTCCAGCAAAACACCACACACTTTCAATGCCTACCACCAAGAAAAAACCAAAATCTGTTTCTAGCACCAAAGGAAAAACAACCAAACTGACTAACAAGCCAAAGTTCAATTCCTACCACCAGAAAAAAAAAAATATACAAGCCAACACCAAATCTCAGTTTCCAAAAAAAAAAACCCTAAAACAAGCCAATTCCAACTTACAGCTTCTAGCATCAAGACAAAACAACCAAACTGACTTTCAAACCAACACCAGATCAGTTTCTACCACCATAGGAAAAAAAACTTAACACAAGCCAATTCCAACATTCAGTTTCTAACACCAAGAAAAAAAACAATTAACAAACAATCTAGCACCAGAGAAAAACCAACCAAACTGACTAACAAGCCTAAGTTCAATTCATACCACCAAAAAAAATACAAGCCAATTCCAATTTTCAGTTTCTAGCACCAAGAAAAAACTAGCCAACACCAAATCAGCTTCTACCACCAGAGAAAAAAAAACCTAACACAAGCCAATTCCAACAGTTTCCAGCACCAATGAAAAAAATCAACCAAACTTACTAATAAGCCAACACCAAATCTCAGTTTCCACCAAAGAAAGAAAACGTAACAAAAGCCAATGCCAACATTCAGTTTCTAGCACCAAAGAAAAAACAACCAAACTGACTAACAAGCCAACACCACATTTCAATTGCTATCACCAAGAAAAAAAAAAACATCATAACAAGCCAACTCCTAATTACAGCTTCTAGCACCAAGAAAAAACAAGCCAACACCAAATCTGTTTCTAGGACCAAAGACTAAAACAGAACACAAGCCAATTCCCTTTTTCGGTTTCTAGCACCGAAGGAAACAAAAAAGAAACCTCACATACAAGCCAATTCCAACTTAGGCTTTCCAGCACCAAGAAAAAAACCAAACCAACTGACTAACAAACCAACGCCAAATCGCCGTTCCTAGCACCAACAACTCAACATTACCCCCATCACCTCAAATCCAGAACCCTCTTTCAAAATCCAACTCCAATGAAAACATTAAAAGTCAACAGGACCCTATGAAATAAAAAACGCAAGCCTACCTGTAAGCTCTGCCACTTCCACGTACGCCAGTATCGCAACCTTGCTCTTGAGGCACCGGCGCTGAAAGAAGAACCCAACTCTGGAGTGCTCCGCTTCACCTGAAGAGACAACACACCACCCCTGTAACACAAACAGCACCAACACAACCAACTCCAGCAGAAAAGGGCTGCCGCAGCCCCGCCGCCGCTGTTTGGGGCGCATCTCTCACCTCTCGCTCCTCCAACTCCCTTCCTCCTGTAGTAGATCCCCAAGATCTGCCACTCTTTCAGGCCTGAAACAAAAGCATACCAGCGCCCAATCCCAGCCGTGAACTCCATCCCGGGGGCAGGGCAAGAAGACAAAACTCACCTCACTCCAGACCTGTAGGAAGACCTCCGTCAACATCCTCTGACCGGCACCTGTTGCAGACCTCACCCTGCAAAATAAACACCATTACAGAGCCACAGGCATCACAACCGTCCCGCTCCCTTGCTGAAGCCGCCCATCGCCCAGGAAAGCGACCGGAACGGCCCCAGAGGAGCAGACTCTGCAGCCTATTCTGTCGCTCACACGGTGAAGTCATTCTTCCTTCCCTTTGTATAGAGCTTCTGCAGTGCAAGTCCTTCAAAGCTGCTCCCATTGCTCTGCAGATGAGCCCATCTCCATCGGCTAGACTCCTGCACTACAGATATTTGTAGCAGTAGCCATGTTCCCCCGGCGACATCCTCCAGCCTTCTCTCAAAACCAAAACAGTACCAACAACACACAAGGCTACCTTGTTGGTCTGTCGTGATCTCCCCTCAGCAAATCCACCTGAAGTACTCCTTACAAGTTCCTTCTCTTCCTGCTGCTCGATAATGCTATCTAGAAGTTGCTGCATCATCTTCTGGGGGATGGAGTCGAGGCCAACTGGCCTACCTTTGCGCGGGCCATCCTCACCCCTTCCGAAGGCTGCAGCGACACCAGCTATCTTCCAGTTCTCACGCATCTTTCCTACAAGAAAGACCATAGGGAAAGTGATAGACAGCCAGGTGGCAATCGCTTCTACCACAGTACTCTCAGGCGTATCCCATTAGGGCCAGGGATCTGCACACCATTTTACTTATCTCACCTTTGACCAGCTCCTCTGCAATCAACAGGAAGTCACCCTTCCTCAAAGGCTTTCCTCGGGTATCATCAAGGAGCAATCTCAGCAGCAACCACTGGAAAAAAGAAATTAATTGAAAACAAACATTTGGTACCTCCTCTTTCTCACATCCTCCATCACCAGGGCCCCTCCTTTGTATAGCAGAGGCCCACTGTTCCCTAGTCTCCTTACTGCTGTTGAGAAACAAACAATTTCTGTTAGCCCTGATCCCCCACCCAACGGTGATACTGTTAGTGAGCCATAGCCTTCCTCATCCCATCTTTACCTTCTCCCCTTGAGCTTATTGGCAAGCTCCTCATTCACCCCCACAGATCTCCTGCCATTTCTGCTCAGCTTCTACTCTTTGAAATGCAGATGTAGCAACGCTCCAGTGTCCACAACTGCTCACAGGACCCCTTCTGATGCTCTAGCAGGACATACCTCCGCATAAGTCCTCTGGGAGGACTAAGTTGTCTTCCTGCAAGTCCCACTCTTCATCCTCCACACAACATCCAGAATTCAGTCGTGCTCGAGGCCACCCCTACGCTTCGCTTCCGCAACAGGGAGAGCAAGCTCCAGAGGCGCTCCTCTCTCATTGGCTCCTCCGTCACCCGTGTCAGAACTTTTTACCTTCAACACATTGCAGGAAACCCCTGGAATGATAACCTGCTATCCTTGCTCTCCTGACAGCTGGCACAGTGGCTCCAGTTTACTGTGAGGAAAAAAAAGCCTACAGCTGTGAGGCTACCTTAAGCTGTGTGCAGAAATTGTCATCAACATCCTCACGCTGGTCTGTAACCAGCGCCCCCCTGTAACACACATTTACCTGCTGTTTCAGCCTCACGGGCAACTGCTCTGCTAGTTCTTCATTCCTCAGTAGGCAGGGCTCAATACATCCCTGTTCTCTCACTGGAAAAGCTCAACCACCACCTCGCTGGTCTGACTTCCCTAATAAGAACACAGTTTCATAATAAGAACACAGCCATCCACGACAGTATGCCTGTCGTGCAAGTTGCCCTGCCGTGTCTCCACAACGGGAGCAACGTGATGCTCCTGGTTTTAGACGTAAAGGGCGGGGAGAGGAATACACTGTCCCACCCTGTCAGCACCTGCTACTGGAAGCGAGAGGGACTGAAGCACCCGCAAAACCCTACTCGGAGGCTGAGGCCGCCCCGGGGCAGGGCTCGGTCTCGGGCAGTCGAGCGGCAGCCCCGTGCCGGCCCTTCTAAAGAGCTACGTGAAAGCGACCCTACACAAACCCCCGAAAGAGAGAACTTACTTAAGGACTCCTAAACTCACCTGTTCGGACTGACGAGAAAATCCGCCGCAGCCCTCGCTCAGCCTGCAAAGAAAGAAAATACCGTCTTTCGGCAGCCCTTCGCGTTGCTTCCTGCTCCCGGCAGCACCGAGGCTGCAGGAATGGGGCTGGAAGGAATCCCGCTCGCTCCCACCGAGGGCAGCAGAAAAACTAAAGCGGTGCCCCGAAGAACCTCGTGGGGACTGAGAGCATCCCGGGGCTGGGCTAGGATTCCAGAAGCTGAGCGGCAGCTCGTTCTGGAAAAGCGACGGGAGCCGGGCAGCGACGACATTCCGGCTCCGAAGGGAGCCCGGCGGCAGCTCCCACGCCGGCCCCGAAAAGAGCGAGGCGACGGCCCGGCAGAGTCCTGCCGCACACCGGGAACCCGTGACGACTCCCGGGCTCTCCGACTCCACTGTGCCATCGCTATCAGAAGCGCTCACCGGTTCGGGCTGATCTTGACCGCCAAAGGACTCACAGCAGCCTGAAACAAGACAACAAACAGAGAACGTTAAACAGAACCCCACCGTTGCATTGACAAAGCAGATCCCCGCGCTGCTTTTCAACCCCCGTAGCGCCAGCGCTTCAGGAAGGAAAGAAACCCACACCGACAGGCACAGGATCCTCAGAAATCGTCCGGTAGCTCCCCGCAGCCTCCGGCGGAGCTTAAAAGGCGTCGGAGGGGGGCCGTGCCCTGGGCTCCCGACGAGCCGCAGCTGCGCCCGGGCGGCCGCGGCCCCGGCACCTGGGAGTCGCAGCCGGGGCTCGTTACGGCCCTGACAGGTAGACACGTGGACTCTAAATGTGAATTCAGGGCTTACATTACACTTTACGCTGAAGTTTGTAACGTGCTTATCCTCCTCACCTCGCTGTGGGATTCATTAGTTAGGTTAAACAGTTGTGCCTAATTCAAAGGGGTCACTTCGCGTCTGACACAAATGGAGCGATAGAAACATATAGAGAATCACCCCTCCCAACGTCCCCGGCCTTTAAGGTTTCCAGAGGCCCCCGCTGCGTGCTTCTAGGTAGGTAGATATAGTCAAGACTACATAAAACAAGTGGTACTCAAGCAATTGCTTACCATCCAGCGACCAATACCTACCTAGCTCCCCAAGCAGTGCGGAAGGGCCAGATGAACTCCCACCCCTTCAAAACTCTCCTTCTGCATTAAGTTATATGGTATGGAATATCTCTTTGGCCAGTTTAAGTCAGCTATCCTGATTCGGTTCTGTCCCACTTCATTGGGCCCTCACACCAGCTCTTCACTGAGATGCTGGAACAGCTTTGGCTCTGTACAACACTGCTTGGCAACAGCTGTAAACATTGTTGTATTATCCACATTGCTTTTCTTCTAGAACCAAAACATAGCATCGTACCAGACACACTGAAGAAAACAATTCCATCCCAGCTGAAACTGAGACGTTGATCAGAGGAGAAAAGAACCCTCTATATTTTGAACTTGAAGTACCTGGAAGTTGGCTTCCAAGCCTTCTAAACTAAGAAGTCCTTTTCTTTCAGAGTCAGCCTGTGATTTGTGGTAGATGCATTCTCCGTTTCCAAGTCAGGCGATGCGTTAACTTTCTTTTTGATTTCTCTCATTTCTGAAGTAGCCTGCAGGATCAGGGCACAGTCTCTTGAGATGTGGCTGGGGAGGGTCTGGTTTCAGTTCTTTCTATGGGTATGTATCCAGTAGCTCTGTGGATTGGAATCCGCCTCTCTGTTCCTGGAGCGTTTGATTGCCTTTCTCGGCTCCTCTGTTTAGTGACCTGAAGCCTGCGTGAGGTCTAGCACAAGCTTGATGGTCTGCTAGTAAGAGAAACTCTGCTTATTGTCAAGAACGATCTCATGAGATATGTGATTATAAGCAAATAGATGGGATTTCCTGTCTGGTGTGCAAACAAGCTGCTGTCTCTTTTGAGCTGTCTTGCCTGGTATCCCACGTTGCTTTCTGGAGTTGAAATGGGTAAGATTTTCTGTCTTGCAGTTTCAGAGCACTTAGCGGCTGTCTCTGGCTTGTGCCCACGCATGGGAAGTTTTGCTGCATTCTTGCGCCCTTCTGGGAGAGCTCTCAAAGTCCTTTGAACAGACAGGAGGGACGTTCCCTTTCTTCAGGGCTGTCCTGTTTGTTATTGCCTGGGAGGAAAGGGGAAACAAGGCTGTCAAAAGGCTTCGTGTTCAGTACTTCAGTGAGATGACACAAGCTTTCAAATGTCACTTTGTTAATGGTGTTATATGCATGACTGAGCACTGCAGGTGTTCTTTCCTTTTGTGTTGACAGAAGTCTTCCATAACTGGATCTTTGATAGGAAGAGTTGAGGTACTTAGCGGGATGATTGGTTTGAGCTTGTCACGCCACGGCAGTTTGTTGGCCTGCCCTCCGCAACAGTGCGGCAAGAAGTAGCAAGACACGTGCGCTTCTGTGAGTACTGCTGAAGTGGAAGTTCTCTGGCTTCCGATGTTTGCACAGTAAATTCCGTGTCAACACGAACAGACAGCAGATCTCAGAGGAGTTAGAGGTAAATAATCTTTCTTTTTGAGGTTTCTGGAGTGAGTTGCAAAGCCGAGGGATTTCTTTGAGTTTTTGCCCTGTGATGAATTGGCAGGTGGCTTGGGAGGAGGTAGTCCCTGGTCATCTGGCAGGGCCGACAATGAGCTTTGAACTGTGTAAGCTTTTGGAAGCTAGGGAATGTATCCCGTGAAGACTTAAGAGTCCCATCCTTTCTGTGGCTGCCAGTGGTGTATTTTGGTGATCTGCTTTATTTTTATTTGGTTATTAAAAGACAAGTTAGGTGACTTAATCCCTCTTTAGTGTATGCCAGGAAGCTAGAAAAAAACGATGACTCCACAAGGAAAAATGAATTCTGAATTGTAGAAAAGAACACCCTCACCCATTTTCTTTTCCTTCCCCAAATGTGGAGTAATCTTGAAGTATTCAAATAAGAGCCTGGGTCTTGAGACATTATTGATTAGCTGACAGAAAGCAGTAATGAGTCTAGTATGATTACTGCTGTCGATAACACGTGTACAAATTGGGAAATTGGCTGTTACGTGACAACATAAAAAAGTCTGGTGGAAAAGAAGTTAAGGAAAGCTCGGGAAAACCACTCTGTACAAAGGTTTTGGGGAACTGAATTCAAAGGAAGTCAGAACGTGGCAGGTAGCGCTCTTCAGGAGCCACAGATTCTCTCCATGAGGAATTCCTGTATCTTTCGAAACTTGTCTAACGTAAAGCGTTGCACTGGAAGAAACTTCCGAGTCATCCCAATTTCCGGATTGTTTTCTTCTTCTTTCTTCTGAAGTTTTAGTCAGTAGCATTTACCTTGAGAGCAGGATACTGGCAGGAACTGAGGAACAGATGGATCAATCTAGCAGGGTAAATCCTATTGCCAAATATAAACGCCAGTTGTGAGCAGAGTGAACTTGTCATGTGAGAGCTAAGGTCCAATGGAGAATGCAGTGACGATTGCAGGTGAGAAATGACCTCGTGTCTGTGGTGAAAGTATATGGAATGGGACTGTCTAGCTTGAGTGTCTGCAGTAGGCTGCTATAATATACCTTGAGCGTGCAGCAGCCAGAGCTCAGCAGCAAGCGCTGAGATCTTCTGTGCAAGACCTGGTACTGGCCGTACTGACTAAAGCAGAACTGCTGCAACTGCTGCATGAAGGTGCTTTAAACAGTAGGTACACACATGTGGAAGTGTCTAGTAGCCTTTTATTAGTGTACAGAGAATTGTTTTCTGGTTAAAATTGGGTGTGGATTAGATTTTATTAGGAAACTATTAGCTTTCAAAGGCTTGTCAAAGGGAAACTCAGTGTGTCTGAATTTTGAGAAGTGATTAAACGTACCCTTAATTATATTTTCCAGGTTTGAATAGCTGGAGGACTGTCCTTCCTGACTCTGTCTCGATCTTAGCACAATCAGTCACTCCGAATGAAGCTTGACCGGTAAAAATACAGTCTTGGCATGGTATCACCATATAATTGAATCTTCTCTATGTTAAATTGAAATGTCAGCTTAAAAGATTCAGTGCTTATTTTTAAATCGCATTAACGTTACATTCAGGTCTTTTCATAAAGTTCTAGGTGTGCGGTCGCATTAAAAATAGGTGGCTAGATACAAAACCATGAAGCTTTAATACTTGCTTAGTAAATATTCAGAGTGCAAACAGACACCGCAGACAGCATATGCAAATAAAGATATTCTGGTATATTTTGTAAGTGTCACAGGCATGAGTGACACACATCAGGCTATGTGTATTATTTCTGAATCACACTGATGGAGTGCGCGCTCCTGCCCTTATTTATTTCTGCTTCTATTCCCACGCCATTTAGAATTTTTTCCTTCAGTTTTACGGAAAAAAGTTAGCATAATTTTATTGCTAAAACGATGCTGCGTTAACTGTAATGGAATGCAATTGTATGCTATGTACCAGAAAGTCTAGAGGTCAGGAAAATGTTAATCCTGACAATACAAGAAATGCAAAGCACGTAACATTTATCATAATTCATTTTGCTGGATCTAGCAAAAAAGTCCGTATTAGTCTCCACACGCAGTTTTAGAAGAGTTAGTCATTCCTACAGGGGAGCCAAGCAACTGTCTGCTTTGTCCTCGAGCAGAGGTTGAGGTTGCTCTCGGTGACCAGACGAGCTCTGTGCTTGGTGCTACAGTGTGAGAGGTGCACTGGGGTGAGGGTGCCTGAAGCTGGCGCCTGCCCTTGGGGCCTGGCTTTGTAGCAGGTGAGTCGGTCCTGGACACTGCATTGGTAACGCAGCTGTCACAAGTTTAGCAGCTTGCCTTTTCTGAACTGGGGCTAGAGGTGGCTGGCGTGGTTATTTGTGGCACTTTGTGGCTGCTTGAGTAGGTAGTGAGAGCAAGCCAGGGAAAACTCACTCATACTCATTCATGCAATTATGCATAAATAGGTTCTAAAGTCCTACTCCAATATGCACAAGCACGCTAGTTCTATCTTTGTCCCTCCCAGCTGGCATCCTGTTAAACCTGTTAAGAAGTATAGTCCACAATCTAATGTGTGAATGAAAATTACAGTCTTAAACAACAGACAAGGGAAGAACCAAGATAGCGTGTTATTTATTTATTTATTGATTTTTGACCAGCCAGAGAGCGAGCCTTGTTTTTGGTTTTAGTCACATTAGGCTGTTCTGCACGTCGGCAAGAAGCGGTTCAGTGATAGCATTTTCCTATTCTTTATTTAAACAGGCACCTTCCCAGAAGAGAAGTTTTGCAGAAACTTTTTGCAGAAAGTTTTCCCAGAAGAGAAAATTGCAGTTTCCAATGAAATGCTGTCTGAGAACTGCTGAAAAAGCAGGTACTTGATAGCAATTAGAAGCTTGAAGAGTAACATAGAGTAGAAATGCGTGCAAACAACCGTGTGTACTATAGGAAATCAAATAGTCTTTTTCAGCAACTGTATCCTAAATTGGAAAACTTTTTTTTTTTTTTTTTTTTCCAGAGTCACGCCCTGTGTTTTATTTTAATTACTGCTAAGGGAGAGTGAAATGGATCAATAAGGAATTTTTTTTAATTAAAAAAGTAGCATGAAAAGCTCCCCTGTATATTCTTAAAGTAGAGAAATAGGCAGCAGAGCCTTCACTTGCTTACACAAGGCTGCAAAGAATTCCCAGATTATCGCTTTGTGCTCTGCCATGTTCTTCCATCCACAGCTGCATTTTACTGTTCTTGGTGGTGGTGATTATTAATTTGAACTTCATGAACCATTTCCAGTCGGTGACACTTTGCTACTGCTTTGTGCCTGCTCTAGATCATCTTCGCTTTTTTTTTTCCCTTCTCCTTTTTAAGCTGTACTTAAGAAAGTCATACAGTGAGTATCTACTGTTGAGTTGTTCAGGAACAGCTGTTGTTCACATGTGGGAACACAACGGTTGCATTTCTGTTGTCCTGTCTGGCATCTAGCAACTGTCTGGCTGCCTGATATACGTGGCATTATTTTCCCAAGAGCTATACAACAAGCCCACAGGCCAAGTAAAATTCTGGTCTCTGTTTCAGACGTAGCTTGTTAATTCAGCCTGGTTTTGCCAAAGCACGTGTGGCTTCTAAGCGGTCTGGTCTGACTTGATGCCGGAAGAGCTGTACTCTTGCTGATGTGTGCTTCTGCTGAAATGGGCAGCAGACTGTCCCCGTTACCTCCCATCAGATGTTTTAGGCCCAGCTGGCGAACAAAGACAAGATTTTTAACAATGACTCCTAGACTAGATTACTCAAGTTGAGTTGCCTAGAAAATGCCCATTTTTCTTTCAAGGGGCTACGATTTCAATCTACCCCCGTTCCTTTTCCAGGAGCTCCTGCTGGGCACTCAGACATCAGCCTCTTTCTGCCCAAGATTAGCTGCCGCTTGTGTGATTTTTAGATGTGTCTGTGGTAGCTTCTACAACTTCAGTGCAAAAGACCGCACACCTTACCCTTGCAAGGTACTCGAGTGCCTCTGCGATGAGATGATGACACACCACTTACTGCCATTCCACAGACAATGAGGCGGTTGGCAGACCTCCGGTTCGGAGTGATTGCACCAGTGTTTTATTAGCTCTCAGAAAATATATAGCAGAGAAGAGGCGTAGTGCAGGCTCTCGCACAGTCTGCCTGTGCTCTGACCTCTCGGGCAGCAGGCCGCATTGCTTTTACAGCCAGTACTTAACCTTTCTGCTGAGACTTGTCAACAAGGAAACCAATTAGCAGCAGATATGATGGCGGATGATATAATGCACGTGTCTGTTTGTTAGGAACACAAGTGATATATTTGAACACAACGTATATTTTAAAACATAGCTCTGCATTAATGACGCCATCTCTCACAAAAAAAATCAGTCTCTACAGTCGTGTTAAAGAATATCCAGATTGAGATTTTTCAAAGCCTCTGTCTTGAGCCCTGCTCTGCTGGACTCGTGGTGACTGTGACAAGTGCGGGATTCTAAGAACTAATTCCTCTACTTTTATTATTTGGCTTGAGAGGTTGTGGATGCCCCGTCCCTGGAGGTGTTCAAGGCCAGGTTGAGTGGGGCCCTGGGCAGCCTGGTCTAGAGTTAGGCATGGAGGTTGGTGTCCCTGCATGTGGCAGGGGGCTGGAGATTCGTGATCCTTGAGGTCCCTTCCAACCCTGGTGTATGGGAACTGCTGAGTCACGGCCTGAACCTCTGATTAATCACCTGAGGTGAGCCTTGAGTCAGCCAGAGGAGCACAGGTGAAGGCAATTCACCTGTGCTGCCGGAAGTCTCCTGGACCTATTTAAGAGCTGGCTACCAGAGGGGAAGGATCTCTTCTGGAGATCCTCCTCTTTTGGTATCTTCTAGTGAGCTCAACCCAAGGGTAAGCTCTTCTACTTATTCTCTTTTGTGATCCTTGTTTGCTTTTGCCTTACTCTTTTGATTATATTGCAATTATAACATCTTGGTTATACACCTGGCCATTCTGTGATTCTATGATTTAATGTTATATGGGCGGTATATGCAAAATATACAGAACAGCATATTGAAAGCAGGACAGTCATTGCCATCTGAAGTGGATCCAGAGCTGTTTTCTATGTACACACAAATGTATATTGGTTTACGTATCAGAAAAAGTTCAGGGAAACCTGATTTAAACGATTAAAATTGTGCAGGTCTACAATCGCATGATAGCCACCACCTTTGAAGGACAGCAGCTTTGTGATGTATGTATGTGATATTGCCCCTGTGTGGGTACAGATTGACAGAGGAACTCTGAAATATGTTGGGTTGGGGGCTGTGCTTTTTAGGGGACAGTTGATAGTTGGGTTGAGGTTTGGCCTGATTGTTTTTAGAAAAGCTTAGAGTAAGATTCAATGGCTGGAGCTTTTTCTAAAGGACTTAATTGCCAGCCAGCTCAGTATATAGGCAGGACGATTCAATCCTCTGCTCTGTCCATTCTTACAGAAATTGTTCTCTTTGGATGAGAAAACATCCAAATCTGCAGCAGTGCGTGCTAGAACGTGTAGGGACGTAGGGACCCGCTCACTTCCTGAGGCAGCCATGTCCCCGCTTCTCTGCCAGCCAAGATTCTGTTTGACTCACTCTCTACATGTTCTTTGCTTGTTTGGACTGAACGTTTGAACCAACATTTAAACCATTTTCTTATCGCTGAATAGTCAATCATTTACAACAGAATTTGCATTTACTGTTTTAAAACCATCGAGATGTAATCAGGGCTTGGTTGATTAATCTCTGAGAAATCGTTCAAAATCAAACCAGAAAACACCCCAAACCAACCTGGAGCAACACAGAGTATCACTTTTACATTTCCTTTTACAGGGCCAGCAAGAAAAAGACCATCATCTCTTCTTGAACGTGACTTCTTATCCTCACGTCGAAGCTAGAGAAGCCTTTTCATCGTATAACAGCAAAAGGAGGGAGAGTGGGTTAAACACATGAGCTGCTACCTGCACTGCGTATTCTACGAGGTACTGATAGGAAGCCTAAAAAGTATAGTACTCCAACCCAGTAGAAAAACAAGAACTTTTCAGTTGACTGGACCTTCACACAGCCCCAACTGAGGGCAAAGGGCGATCCAACTATGTTTATTGCTAACGTTAATTTATCTGAGGATACTTTTTATCTGATGCAAACGCAGATTTCTTTTCCCCCCTCTCAGCATTTACAAATGCATTCTTTTAAGATGTTAGGTATCTCTGCATGTTCAGTGGGACCTTCGCTTGACCAGAGCTTTCCTTTTTCATCTGCACTGTTGATAATATCTTCCCTCTTTTCCGTGCATCTTGTCTTGTAGGGATATCCTTTCCCTCCCCCACATCAAGCCTAAAATCTGTTCTAGGTGAAATCAGAAGAAGAAAAAGCAAAAAGAAACGAGGAATATAGCCAACCTTTTTAATTAGAGTATATTGTACTTCCAAACTGGATACACTAGAAATTGGCAATGCAACGTAAGATGCAAAGGAATATACCAGTTACTGTCAAAATGACCCTGTACAGCCTTATAATGCAAAAAGCTTTATACAATACAAACTTTTAATAATAATGTACACAGACCTTGACAGAATGATATTTGAACATAATACACCAAATAAAAAAAAATAGAAGAAAGAAAAAAGTGCTGAGAACTTTAACTGAAGTACTGAATGGAAAAACACACTAGCCTTCATTAAAGAATGCATAGGGATAAACTATTATGAAATTAGCTTTATGGTGGGGGGAATTTTTCAGAACTGTTGGTCTTTACTAGGTAGGGGATATCTCTGGAGAACATTCCTTTCTTTAGTCTTGAACTTCAAACCAATTATGTTAATACGATGAGCTCTGATAAATACGGTATTTTTTTTTCCTTAAAAAAATAAAAACCTCCTAACACACTTTTCCTTACGGAGAAAACTTCTATGACGTACCGGAAAGAATGAATTTATTCTTTCCAAAGTGCTAAAGAAGATTTCCAGGTACATTAGACATTACTTTGTCAGGTACTGGTACGATGGAGCGTTGTTGAACACGTGGCATTCGTGCGCTGACAGCGCATTCTTGGAACTTCCAGCCCCAATTATATTGCAGTTTGGCTTACAGAAAGCATCCTAGTAATATTTGTACCTCCTCCTAGACAGCTGTACTTTCCCTGTTGGTTTGAAAAAAAAAAAAAGCTTTTCGCTTTGGAAGTGTTTGCTTTACTATGGGGGGGTCAGAGATATAATGCATTGAGTGTATTTGAGAGAACTGGTATAGTTTCTGGGTGCAGTCTGCATATTTCACACTGTTGAGACACTCAGTTTTTTATGCTTGCTGTATTTACTAACACACCGCTTTCTATTTTGTCTGTACTCCCAGGGGGGTTACCAGGAGTTTGGATGGCAAAGAGGGCCCTGAGTTGTGTTGTTACTAACGTTTTTATGTTTACTTTGGAACAGATGGCTTTTCTCTACTGCACAGACAGGCAGAACTGCCATATGCTCAGTAGAACCAAAATTTTCTGCTGGAATGTAAACAAAATGGTGAGACTTCTCTGCCCTTTAATTAATTATTCCAAATAATAACCTCCTCCAATTTTGGATGTTTCCCCCTTGTAAATAGCTTTGAGGATGTTAAACAGGAGTGCACAAATGAGGATGTCCTCCCTGAACAGGAAGACTTTGGTCATGCCTGTGGAGAGTGTTTGGCCATCTCAGTGCAAAACAAATGTAGGAATCTTCCACATAAATAAATAAAATGATGCAAGTTCTGCATTTTAAAAAAAAAAAAAAAAAAAAAAAAAAGATACCCTATGTAAGCTTCATTTGAAAAATGAAGAAGATTGAGATTATGTTTCTACCTATGTGTGTGTGGCTCAGAGCCTTCGTGGACCAGAAATGCCTACCTGAACTGGGATATTGCCTTAGTGCTGTCCAAACTAGTCTGCTGAGATCCCTCCTTCCCACAGCACCCTGCAGAAGAAATTGCTTTGGAACAGCATGAGAGTGGGAAGTAAGTAGCACATCAGATGTGATTCAGCGCATCGCTTACAATGGCTTGGTCGAGAGAAAGAGAAGGACTGAAAAAAGCAAGGAGGTCAGACATGTCCAATACCTGATGGCGAAGGACAGCAAGATCTAATTCCAAGAGACACCGTGGAAAACAAAAATCCACTAAGAAAGCATTCCTGTAAGTCCTGTGAAATTTTGAAATGTTTCGTATTTTATATTCCCAATTTACATGCAGAGGATTTTTTATCCGGATCTTTAAGTTGTTTAAGGAACATGTCAATTAATAGACAGTTACTCTTCCTTCAGATCACTGTTGGCATTTTGAGATTAAGAAAGGTTATACGACCGCTCTGCATTTGCTTCTTCCTACAGTAAAGTGCCACATACAACACGTCATTTTAATGACCACAAAGTAAGAGCATTAAATAAGCACAAAGTTAGTTTCCTAGCAGTGTATGCTCTATCAGCCATTAACAGAAAGGAATAAAGTATTACTAACAACGTGGAGGGTATGATAGGACCTTAGAATCTGCAAGTACAATTGAAATAGTGAGGATATAAAAGAGAACTGTATCTTTCAAACAGTATCTTTTTTATAGCTTTGTATTTCAAAGTTATTGGTACCTTTTCAAATGTACAGTCTTACTACTTTCATCCCGCAGAATTTTTTTGTTTTTGTTTTTTTGCAACTGAGAAACAAACTAGTGCAAGACTAAAGCACTGTGCAAATCTGCCTTTTTTTTTTTTTTTTTTTTTAGTCTGAGTATTTATACCCAGAATTTATCCATACCCTTGGTAAAATCCCCTTTGTTGGATTTTTTTCCACCATAGATTTCTAGTTATACAAGTTGTTCCTGCAAACTAAAAGGTAACCACTGCATAATACAGCATATATGTATCTATATATAATATTTATATGTCCTTTTAAAACAAAAGATGTATGTTATGGCCCAGACTCAGGTGTCTGTTACACCTGCGTAAGCTGAGAAGTGAGCCTGCTGTGTGAGTGTGTACGCTGCACGTGCACGTGTACGAGTACACACGCACACACGCATTTTCACTGTTATACTCTCATCCTGCAGTGCTGAAAGCCACTTCTTCCTCATCAGCTCTACCCCAAATCCTCAAACCTTGACAACTCAATACAAGGCAGCAAACAACTAAACGATGCTGCTTGCAGCGCTGAAATAATGACACCGGTCAACCCCAGACCAAGAGTTACTCCCGCCCCAACTCTACAGTTCGGGGGGATACAGAGGAAGGGAGGGAATGAGCGTGTTCAAGGGAGAAAAATAATAGGTAAGTAAACCAATATAAGGGATGTGCAAAAGCAGTGTCATGGCACGCTTACGGACTCTCTTTCACACACCCATACGCACACACACACAAAAAAAAAAAACCAAAAAAAAAGCATCAATATGAAATCTTACAAGTGCTGATTGCCAGTAAGGACACTCTTTTTCAGCTTAACAAGACAAAATAGTTTCTTAGATAAGAGTACTGGGAACATGCCGAAGGTAGAAGTATGCAGTAGGTCACCTCTTGAAGATTTAATAAAGCAGCTTTCATGTCAATGCAATAAGTATACACAGAGCCATTTTCTAAACCTTACTACTGATATAGTACAAATGTTCATTACCTCTTCGGTTTACGGTTTGCAGCAATGTATACCTGCTGGGTTTGTTGGGGTATTTTTGGTACAGAATGTAACTGCCCTCAGACAGTTTCTGCCCTTTCTGTTAGTCCAAGGTAGGCAAGGAAGGAGTGTTTAGGTGAAGAGGCACCTCCCGGTGCAGTCTGAGGTCTGGGTGGATGGAATGTGAGACTGTAGTGGTTTTTGGGGAAAAACATAGTTAGAGGAATAAGGTGGGCAAACTCCGAGTTCCAGTATTTATCAAAGCACAGGGAGGTGCCGTTGATGGCCAAGGCTTTCACTGCCAAGTTTGGTTCTGCCCCGCTGCTCTGCGCAGCTGACATAGCCACTGTCTGCAGAGCCTGGGAGGCAGACATAACTGAGAGGGGCGACAAGAGGTTTCTAGAGCTGTTCACCGGTAGGAGTGGACTGGCTTCCTTAGAGGTTGAATACTGGCCTTTCTTCTCCTCTTCAGAGCAGTCCCCATTCTGGTGCTTCTTCACATGGCGGCTGAAAACAAAAGGGTGGGTAGTCTTGAACAGGCACTCGTCGCAGCTGAAAGTCTGGCGTGGAGCATGCTTCAGTTTCTTGTGCAAGTTGAGATTGTCTTTGCGTTTGCAGCTGTAGCTGCACTGGTCACAGTGAAAAGGGCGCTCGCCAGTGTGGACACGCACGTGTTCGATCAGCTTGTTGGCAGTCTTGGACAGGTAGCCACACTGGTCGCACTTGTAATGGTTGCCAAGGCGGTGTTCTCGGATGTGCATCTCCAGCTCCAGCTGATTTGCTTTCACTGTCTGGCAGATCCGACATTTGTACTCCATCTTGTAGTGAGTCTTCAGGTGGCACTCCATTGCTGCAGGGCGGTTAGTGGAGTAGATGCAGAATGGGCACCTGGCACAGAGAAAAGAGAAGTCACGTGGCTGGAAGTCTTGTGTTACTGGGACAAACCTGTCATTCAGCCCATCTCTGCCCTACTAAAGCAGGAGAAAAGGCGCCTAGTCCTCCCTGTTTGGTTTCTGTATTATGTTTGGTTCATCTGTCTCTACTTAGAGTACGCTTGCCTATTTAACGGCAGTAGAACTCGCTCATTCCTAGGAAGGCACCAAAGGAGCGTCCCCTTAATCGTCTGGCTTACCTTTGCGGGGCAGGTTCTGCAAAGCAGGCCAGGTGCTGTGGGTGACTGATTCACAGGTTCTTTGGGTAATGACATTCCTAGTGTTTGCACAAAGTCACTTTTGCCATTTTCTCCATTCAGAAGTGGTTTAAAGAGAGTGTTTACAGATGAGTATGAAAGCAGCTGTTTAAGTAAAGATGGAATAAACTTGTAATACTGTATGTACGGCTTAGGAAATTCCTTTTATGTGACTTTGTACAATAAGCTTGCTGGGTATCCGGCTAGAAACAGCTGAAAGTTGGCTTATTAAGATGATCTGTAGGGATTCCCATTGCTGGGAGATGAGCTAGTCTGTGCTCGGCAATGCTTGCCTACAGCCGCCTCTGCCGCGCAGCAGGAATTGTTCCAATGTAGGAACAGGATGTGGGCTCTGCTTACTCACAGCAGAAAGCTTCCAGACCAGGGTGGACGTGGTAAAGGGCCTCACCCCTGGTTCCTGGACCAGGAAGGGCTGAGAAGGCTGAAGGAGGGAGCCTTCAAAGCTGGGAAGGAAGGCTGAGCTGACCAAGCCTGGACACCATCAAGACTAAAATGCACCGGATCCTGCTTGATGTGGCTTAGAGGAAGTTGGTGAAGACAGCTACCCGCCCAGAATATCTGCTGCGTTAAACAAAGCGTACTGGCTTCCAGACCTAGCTTGTGAGCTAGAAGAGCAAGTCTAGGTAAAAAGACACAACTAATGCGCCAAGCTGCCGTCTTACAGATGTCTCCCTTGCCTGCTGATCTGCATTCACTCTTTAGCAGCTCTGCCAATTATGCACTGTCATTTAAGGTAATTTCTAAGCAGATATCCTCTCATTTGTTTTCACTCACTACAACTGATTGTGTTTCATCTTGCTAACGATGGAGAGATTTTGGAGTGAGTGCAGCAAATAATACAGGAGGACAAACAAACAGAAGTAAAATATCCGGACGCTTTTCCTGATGCAGCATCAAGTACTCTGATCCAGAGAGGGAACCTGGCACTGAGGCTGCTGAAAGTGGTTAGCTCTACTGCAACAGAGAACTCAGCTGTCTATGCGCACATACCTCTCCTGAGCTGGGTGCTCTCTGGATCAGAATCTCAGATTTTGATCTGGAACTGGAGGAATCATGTTTTTTTTTTTTTCTCTTCCCCCACAGCAAACAGGAGACAGAAAAATACAATTTACTTAGATCTCTTCAGGCTCTTCTGGATGCCTTAAAAAAAAAAAAAAATCAGAGCTTTTTCTTAGATGCAGCTTTGAAGGTACCTGATTATTACTCGAGTCGGGCAGGAATAACTTATGTAGACTGAGAAGCCCATTCTGTCAGGAAGGTCTGAGTCATAGGTCATGATTTTTCCTCAGTAAATAGAATAGATTCTGTGCAGCTTAAACCCAGAGCGCGTGAGATCACTGGCCTGTGCGTCCAAGACAGACATCCCATCGTTCTGGCACGCTACTTGTTTCCTAGCCCGGTCTTATTCCCAGATTCAGTCATCATATCTCAGTTGATCACAGATTCAAATTTGGGAAACTACAGAGCTGTATAACAAGACACTGCCTGGCAAACAGAACCAGTTTTCACAAACCTCAGTGCAAACTGATAGAGCTACTCATGGTAATGTTAAATGTGGCGCGCTAGTTACCTGACAGTTACAGTGCATTGAAAACATTAGTTTGCTTAGCAAGAACAGTGCAAGCAGGGAGGCCTGTGCCGGGCTTGAAGTGGCTCCAGCCTCTCTTCCTGCAGCAGCTGGAACAAATGGAGAACAGGGGCATACATCTTGCATAACAACACATCACCTGCACACAAGGAGCAAGCGTATGGCCCCAACTATAACCCCTCCCCTCAGGGGTCCAACTTTGACATAAGGGCACAGTCGCTCACTAGAAACGTTGCTCTGTATGAACAGATCTTAAAGGACAGCACCTTAGCCAAAGACAGGGTTTTTTTCTTAAAAGAGCGTACTGCTTGTTACACGTTAATTTACAGTGATTATTCCAAACACACAAAGAAAGGCAGAAAAGGATCAAAATAGTTAGTTGCTGAGAAAGGCTGACTTTGCATTAGAATCTACAAGGATTACAAAGCAACTGAGAGGTCTGATTTTGAGAAGCTGACTCCATACTTAGTGGCACAGATTGGACAGGACTTAGATTCTTTGAGCTAGGTGCAGAACAGAGAATGCGGTGCGTGCTCTCCTTTGCTCTAAGGCCTTCCAAATGCCTCTTAATTGGACAGTGCCTCCGTGCCGTGCTGCCTCATTCTCTTAGGACCCATCATGTACTTTCTCCTCTTTGACTTGAAATGGGAAAGGCCATACTTTGTTAAGATCTATCACTGGGGAAAACTACATATACTACTATTTGCTATAATGGTGCAAACCCATGTTAAGGCAACTCTAATGGACTGGGCTTTTATTATCTAGACAACAGAAGCCCCAAATCTGGATTCTCAGACACTTTACTAATCTTTTCTGGTTTACTTCCTTCTGTCCTGGTCCCCACAGTATTAGAGGTGCTGAACACAGTAAAAGTTGGTGTACTTGCTTTCCTTACTTGAGCCCACCAGTGGGGACAGTGTGGCATTTCTTGTGCTCCAATAATTGCTCGGGTGTCTTCATGAACTTGTGGCACACATCACACTCAAACATCCGTGTGATCAGGTGGATTTGCAGATGGCGCTCAAACATATTTTTTGTTTTGCAGACAAAGTTACAGAAAACGCATTCAAAGCCTGAAAAATGAACAAAAGGAAAAAGCATTCCTGATACTGTGGCCGGATCTACTGCATACGAGGTGACAATTTGTATTTGTTTTATGGGATGTTTTTTTTTTTTTTTACCTTTCTCTGACTTCTCTTCAGTATTCAGTGAGGTCTGAGTACCAGGCACTACAGAAATGACCAGCAGGTTGTTTGAACCCTTGTTTTTTGGAGATACATCTGCATCTTCTTTGCTGTTAGCAGAGTCACTGAGTGCTGACAGTGAAGATGAAGATGGACTGTTAGATTCACTGGGTGTCTTCCTCTCCTCAGCTGAAAAATTGGAATTAGGAGCAATAGCTAGTACAGCAGACTGTAATCCTGTTTTACATTTCAGGATGAGTGTCATTTGAAGTTAATTCAAACATACTTATAAACAAGTCTGAAATCAACTGGTCAGTTAGGGAAGCATCATGATTTCATATCCCTCCATTTTGTAAGTGTTTATACTAGCATATCCTAGAAGGTATTCTGTCTGTAATGGCAATGAAAGGAAGCATGCAATTCTATCACATTATTAAGCAAAAAAAAAAAAAAGATCCCAAGCACACACTTTGATTGGCTCAGACGATCAAGAACTTGTCACTGAGAAAAAAAGCCACGTTTTCTCCAATGGAGGTCGGGGTGCTGTTGATGGCATCGTTTACTAGTGTTCCAAATTAAGCTTCCCTCACCTTTCTGCTTTTGTCTGTCTATTGGGTAGCTCTGAGAGGAAGGGTAGAGAAGAATAATGACTGTAAGAAATAACAGCCTGGTCTCAAGATGTATCTGCTGTTGCTAGGAACTCTCATTGAGAATTAAATGATAAAAACAATAAAACAAAACATATTTAACTGGATCTAAAGCTGTAGCACTCCAGCGTTGCCTTATGTGTGCAATAAATGTGTGAAGTTGGAATCCCAAATAGTATCGCATTCTAGAAATGAGCAAGAGTGAGAGTTCTCATATAAGCCTAACCTGGTACATTCCACTCTGAGCCAAAGAATCAGAATGGACAAATTATTTCCTCCCCTTTATGTCACGCTTTATTCAGAGCTGTGTTAAAAACAGACTTAACTAAAATGTCATATTATCTATGTGATAAAGTAAGTCCTCCGATTGAGGCCTCTGCATACAGCAATATGTATCCAGCTAAAAGCTCACAAGTGGCACCTTTAAGTCTAGATAAAAATGTTGGAACGCGCTAATGAAATCTGATGACCCATGCTGTCAATAGGAAGGATGACTGGGATATCATACAGAAAGACTCACTGACCTTGGGGGCTAGAGTAATAAAAACGGAATGAAATTTAATAGCACACACTACAAGGTTATGACCTGGAAGGCCAGTAACAAGAATTTTTGCTACAAATGAGGAGAGCTTAAGTTGGAAACAGTCAAGGAAAACAAAATAAAGGAAGAAGTTGAGCAGAACACAAGATGAATACGAGCTATCAGCAAGCTAAAGTCTCCAAGGAAGGTAAATATGATCACAGAATATTACTGCGTGAGTTATTCCCAGCAGCTGCTGCTGTTTTACTCTGCCACTGCTACTTATTCCAACTAAATATGCCACGTGCAGCCATTGTTGTGTATGCCAAGAATGGGGATCTCACAAGAACACACACAGTGTAAGATCGGTACTTTCAGAAGAGTATTTCATGTAAGAAAAGGCCCAATGAATATTTAGATGGGAGAGGGTTGTTCTCCAGAAATACAGGAAGAGAATAAATACCGTGGGGAGGGGAGAAAAAGATGGAGGGGGGTGAGCTGATGTTTCAGACTGAGGGAACTTCTGGCAGAAAAGAACATGGGTGAGTTCTGATTATCACTAAGACGCATGCTGGCAATTTTAAAAAGGTACCTCAACTTGAATACCAGAAAATCTGCATGCGATCTGTCTGTGGGCATAGCGGGTCCAAAACAATTCCACTTGCCTGAAGACATATGCCAAGAGCCTTACAAACAGGCCTTTTATGAGTAAGTAACCTTACAGGGTAGGGACTGGAGGCGAGTGAACCAGAAAACCCATCCTGTCTTTTTCCCCCAATACGTGCCATATGTGTAAGCATTTGGCGGGATCTCCTGCTGAATGGCTCAATTTGACAAAGTGAATGAAGAACAGATAATTAAAAGACAAGCGATAATTAAAAGACAAGCTTTAGAAGACAGGCAGCACCTCCAATATTTTAGCCACAGCAAGTACAGCTCTTGTTCTGAGCTCTGATGCGATTTTTTCTCATGGCTATAGGTGGCATTTCTCCATCTACAAGTGGAGATGGATGAAAAAATTGGGTAAAGACAGTGCGTGTGCAGGGAGATGGGAGTAGAGTTGCAGTGCTGAAAGCTGGCACAAAAATTTGTGAGGCATTCCAATAATTTAATGTGCATTATAAGCACAACATTCTCCTCTCCTTTATCTCTTTCCACCCTTCCTATCTTCCCACTTTTACCTTCGACATAAAGAGCAATTTAATGATGGGAAAACGGCGCTGGATGCAGTTCAGCTTCAGTACCGTCAACGCAATTATTAGTAGTTTGTGACAACAAAATTCTTCTGCTTGGTGTTATAAAAGAAATCAACTAAAAGCATTCTAATTTTCTCCTCCTTAAATTATGCCGGGCTTCACTAGTTGGACTAAGCATATGGAGCTTGTTTGAAAACTGCTGTTGCTCTTATCTTTGGCTATTAAGTGACTAAGAACAGGACCAGGGAGAAGACACGGGATTTGCTCTGATACTGAATATAAAGTGACATTTAAAGTATTTCTGAGTCACAACATTAAAGAAACATCAACAGAAACTCTGAACACACCAAGAGCAAAGCTCAGTATATTATGTGTTACAACCTTAAAGCCAGATACACACAGCTAGTGCTCAAAGTTGCCTTATCAGCACTGAGGTCAAATCAGGATTTTGATGAAACAATAAATCAGTCAAAAAAACAAACAATCTATGTTAACTTCAGCAAGGGAGGAGATTTGAGGGACATGGCCAAGTAGCCCTTCATTTGTCCCCTACACTTGAAAACTGATCTGTACTAGCGGACTATTTGCCTGGCTTCACTTCAGCTTTAAGAGATCAGACCTTAATTAGCAAGCATTTCAGTGAAAGTAAAGAGAGCGCTTATCAGGAGTGTGAAGGTTGCACCTAAAAAGCAGGGAAGAGAGAGATCACAGCAGCTGGGAGGTGGGGATCGTCACCTGTGTGCTTGCTGTTGACATGAGCCTTCATATCTGCCTCTTCCATGGTGACAAAATCGCATGCTGTGCAGCAAATCGAGAACATCCACTGCTCCTTATCCACATGAAGGGACATATGACTGACAAACTGGACGTTCATCTCCGTCTCAAACCCACACACATGACAGCTGCAAGCAGAAGGGAATTCAAGAGTAAGAAGCATTAAAAAAATAAACTACAAATAGAAGAATATTATCCTTCCCTTCATTTTGAAAAAACAAACCAAAAAACCCACCCTCACTGCACAGTTCTCTTCCTCACTGTTGAATGTTCATTGGAAAATTCTTTGTCTGCTGAACTGCTTCTGAACTGATGGCCGTGCCAATGTGATTAAGGGCAGGCACAACGCAACAATCCCGTACATGCTATAATGATGCTAGATAATCATAAAGTTAATTAAAAACTACAGATTCCAGATGCTGCACATCACCTAGCTGATTCCTTTGGGCAATAAGAGGCACCGCAGCTTTGCCAAGACGTTTAGTATGGCTGATACACTGACAAACAGAAAGCGTGCTGCACGCTCTAGGAGTTATTTTCAAGCCCTGGAATGGTTCCCATGCCAAACCAGGATCCTGTGAAAAACTGCCTGGCAGTTTCAGCGTAAGCAAGTAAAAATGGGTTCAAACATTTCTTACGCTTGACTGGAAAACAGCAGTCCTCAGCTATGCAAATAATTAACAGGGAGACAGATTTCACAGCCAATGCATACGCAGAGTGATATTGAGAAGCAATGGAAGGGACTCTTTAACCTTCTGTGCAGTCCTCCTCTTGTTTTCTGGGGCCATCACAATTTAAAGCAAGAAGCACTCTGAGAGTGATTTTGTACTCTGCTTGGCCACTAGGGCGCATAGCACAATTTGCAGAACACACGGCACTGCATACAAAAAGGAGAATGCCCAAATTGCCATTTCGTCTGGGCAGTTCCTTTCAATTTTTCTGGCTCGTTCTCCTAAAAGTCTTTTTTCACAATATTGGTCACAATGTATATACCTCTAGCAAATGGGAAAATGTGTATGTTTTATTTTAATACGTTACTCTTTGATTTCATAGACTTGGTTGAAAACAACGGAGTTAATAGTGTTTTAGATTTGCCATGAATCTACATAAACAGTGGGAAGTTCCTCAGTGCAAAACTTAAATCAAAAATTACAGAGGCTTCTAGGAGTCCATTTGACTCACAGAACCATTAAAAAAAACCATCCAGAACAAAACCACACATGCTCAAGAACTCTGTCCTTCCCAATGACTATCCAAGTCAAACAGCACGAGGCAGGCAGCTAGTTCTGCTGCTTAGCACAAAGTCAGACAGACATGGGCAAGTCAAATACATTCAGTGCAATTTCACCGTGGAACACCAGAAGAGGGGTCCTGCAACAGCCTATAAAGGCAGCTAAGACAAATTCCAGTGTCTGGTGCACTAGGTCTCTTGCCTAGGTCCTCACCTGTAGTAGTAAGGGTGCTTCTTTCCATCACTGCCTTCAGAAGTGACAGCGCTGACAATGTCCTCAGTGTCTGTACTCACCAGCTTCACAGAATGGACGGTCAGGTGCTGGTTCAGATTAGCACGGCACTTAGCAGCGTAGGGGCACAAGTGGCACTTGTATTTTCTCTCTTCTGAGAAAGAAACAGAAAACCGTCCATTTCAACTTCATTTTGAAGCAAACTGTTGTTAAAGCTTCCAATAACCAAGTATGCATTCCTTTGAGTTTCTCTGAACAATTTCCTGAATAAGGTACTTTGGAAACTAGACGTTTTGGAAAATTATAGAAGTTCACAGCAATTACTCAGGAAAAAAAAAAAAACAACAACTTCATTTGGAAGTAGTTTAGGGCTATATTTTTAGCACGGCCTACCATTTGTAGTCAGATATAAAACTTTATAAACTGCAAAAGTGGGGTAATTGCTGCTCTGAGAGCTGCGGCAAAGCCAGTACAGAAACAGGTCCATAACCTGCAACTACTTCCTTTACCCAACATCTTTTATTTCAATTTTGGGTCCGCTTATTCTTGAGGTTGCCCATACGATCACTTGTAGGGTTGATGGTATTGTATTAAGATCTGAGGGTGGGCAGGGATGAAAGGGAAAGCTGCAGCATAAGGCCAGTTCTGAACACAAGCTCACAAAAAGAACAAAAACAAAAAACACTCAAAGAACAATTAAAAGAAATTAAACATGAGCTTCAGTGCTTCACAGCCTTTAAAATAAAAACAATTTCATTTCAAATTTAACAATCCTAAGTCCTGGCAGCAATTTCTTTGTGCATGCCAGGCTTCCTATTGTGAAGAGCTGATTAATAAAACAACCAAATATTACATCAGCTTTTACAACCCTCTCCGTTCAAGTGCTGCTGCTCTAAAATTGAAACATAATACAACAAGTGCTAGGGGGAAGAACTTCAATAGAGCAGCTCTGGATTAAGAAAAGTCCACAATGCCAAGGAACGAGAGCATCTGAACCTTTCCAGCGTGGCTGTACTAAGTGACATATACTGGCATTATACCAACAATATTTTTCAGTACTGTATTAGAAATTCTTGCTTTCAAGTCTTATTTTGTGCAGTGCATCTCAGCAGGCCGACAAAGTGCATCTTCCATGTAAAAACTGCTCATCTCAGTTGATTTCAATCATTGGCTTTTAGGGAGGTGGTACGAACTTGAATAGTTGCTCTTAAAAACAGTAAATAATAAGAGCAAAGGTGAACGATGGTATTAAATCCTGTCAGTTTCACCATATCTGAAACATCAAAGCCAAATCTTTTGTTGTTTGATAACATTTAAGAAGCTCATCATGTAAATGTAAGAAAGGCCGGACAAAGGCTGTGTCTTTCCTTCAGAATGGCGCTAGCAGATTTGGTTAAACAGCTGATATCTACAGGTTGATCTGCAGGAACTTGGACCAACTTGAACTTGCACGTTTTGTAAAGATTAATTACAAGCTGGCTGTAAAGAAATGTTAGCTAAGTCCCCAAGCACCTCTGCTGTGGCTATTTCCGGCCTGTTTCTGGTGTTGCCTTTGCTCTAGCAAAAAGCTGAGCATAGCCCATTCTACAGACACTCATCTGCTTATCTTCCCCCCATCCATCTTAAATAAGCTATGACGAACACAAGGATTTCCTCAGCACTAAAGAATAACATCAAAGCATCAGCTTTTACCTGTGTGCAGCGAGAGATGTCGGGACAAGGTCTGCTGTCGACCAAACACTTTTCCACACACTTCACAGGGAAAGAGCTGGTCATTAAATTTCCACGATGGCAATCCGTTTCCTGCCTCCAACCCTAGCTTTTCTGTTTCTGTGCCAAAATACATACAAACAGAAAGCTGTATTTTAACAACTCGGAAGACTCAGATTTCACTCAGCATACTCCTGTAGGTACGATATAAAACACAGCACCTTGGCTGCGTGCTCATCTGACACGAGTTCATGAAGAAAGGAAACTTTCCTATTGATGGAAAGGGAATAAATCTTTCATACCTAATCTTCCATATATACTGTAAAACACAACACTTACCAGCTAGACACAGTCAGAGTTCAACCAGATTACGTACAGAGAGAAACTCAAAAACGAGCAGGGCAAAGCTTTAAACTCGAATTTTGTTTTTGTGGAGAAACTATGCCTTTGGCTTGTTCACTCACCCACTTTCACCCAGCGCATGAAGACCCAGTCTGAGACGGTGGTTAATTTTACACTGGGTTATTATTCATACTGAAAGAAGACCTCCAAACTTTGTATTTGCTACGGATGTAGAAATGACTGCTGTACGAGCAGTCTTCCACTAAAGGAGAGCAGAAGATTGAAGAAGAGCACTGAAGAAGACCTCAGACTGAAGTTAAGTGAAGAGGGCACAGCATGCCAGTGAGTGGGTGGCACCTGGGGTAAGCTCTAATCGGTAACTTCTGTCCTCAGGCATCAAAATCCACAGCAGCCCAGAGGGCTGCCCATTGAAAAACTAAGACCTTTTGAGAAACGTTATCTTTATACAAGTGTTACCAGTTGTTCCAAGAACAGAGAGAGTCTGCTGTAGAAAATAGATACTCCACACAGCATAGAACAGTCATAAAAGACACCCTGTGAGAATGCAGAGAGGAAAAGACTGGGGACGAAGACAAACAAAAATCATACACTGTTAGAAGAAGGTGGTAAAAGCATCTGGACAGAAGGGAGAAGAAGCCAGTGTAGATGGAAGATAACAGTGATACTACCCAGACTTGTATGAGAAAGAATGTTAGCAAATCTTGTGTAAAGAAGTATTTTCTGCCAGTGTCCTGTTGTGCCTGAAGGAAGGGACCGCTGCAGGTAAGTGTCACAAAACTCAAGGGCTTTCAGCAGCTTCCTCAAAACAGCAGCAAAAGTAGGACAGAAGGAGTGGGAAAGTTGGCTTAGAACTTACCGAAAGTAGAAGACCTCCTATTTCCACTAGAATGGAAGGTGAAACACACAGAGCACCCTTCTCTAATCCCCCATCACCACCGCCCAAAACTACCTCCCCTGGTGTATGTGATAGAAGAAAAGCATTTGGCTGGTGTGTTCAGGTAAACAACAGGAGAGGATCTGAGGACAGGAGTGCAAAAACATCTTAGTGAGCTAAAGTTCTATCCTAGAGTCAGGCACAAAGCAGCAGAATCTTCATCCAGGGAAACACGAAGGAATAAGCACCCGACTTGCACAGGCAGCATCACCTACCGCTGCAAATCTGGCAGGCATGTCTAGAAGAGTCCTGCTGACAAACAGGAACCCAGCTGGCTCTAGTGTGATTTAGGTAAACAGTTGTCAAATACTGCAATTAATTTAAACAACAATAAAAACAACGCCTCATGTAGGGCAGAGATTCCACAACGCATTTTCAACAAGTTTAGGGACAGTTGTACCTTCCAGCCCCTTTCAGCTCCTGCATACAGTATTCAAGGGAGGAATTATGAGGTCACATCTGAGCACTGCCGTCCAACAACACATTTTTTTCTTACAGAATTTCTAGTTGGGAAACAAGTTCTGACTCTTCAAAATAGTCATTTTCGTGAAATTAAAAAAAAACAACAAAAAACCTCCCCAAAGGGATTGTGACCCTTAACTTCCAAAATCTTCAATAAAGAGTAATTCTTTCTGTTACCGTCCTTCAGTTCAAAACAGTGGAAAAATCTGACTCTGTACTAATGTTACAGTTATTTTAGCAGAGCTTCTTGAGTACACAATCAAAACAGCGCTTCAAAAGAGGAATATGGTAATAATTATAACAGAAGGTCACAAGGGTGCACGTTGCTTCAATATGCTCACAACAAAAACGAATTAATTGGGACACATACCAAACAAGTCGGCACAATTAGACGTAAATATGTCTCTTAACAATTCATTTCAGCATTAGTCATCAGCCTTCTTTTATCTCTCAAGAAAGAGAAATATCCTCTTCCCTATTGTGGATTTATAGCTATCAGTTCGGGGCTGCTCATAGGAAGTTGGAAAAACACCAGCTTTCTGGTTGTCTCAGGCTGGGGAGAGCTAGCCCCTTGCAAAGGTGCTACATCCTTTTCACTGACATCAAAGAAGGCACTGCAGGTGTTTTCAAAGTGTTTATGTTTACTTTACAGTCCTAGCTGTAGTACTTATTTCTTTTTCTACTGAATCTTCTCTCTATAGCCAAGTGTTTTTTCTATTCATCAGGTTTCTTTGCTTGCTCACAGGATAACAGAACTGGTCTCTGGTACCACAGGAGCCTCAGCATTTCATGGGAAGCCTTCTCCTTCAGCCTCCTGAAAGCTCTGTCTGCAGCTGAGAAACTGAAGCTCTGCCTCCATACAGTAGTCCAGGAATCATCCCCAGAGCCTACCCAGTAACTGACCTTCACAGTGACCTGAGGAATCGGGTGAGTCAGCATCCACAGTCAACCGTTGGGCTCTGCCTCTAATTAAGGCTGGTAATGGTCCAGTGACTCCGAGACCATACCACCATATTATGCACACTGTTCTCTGTGTATCCCAGTGTGCTTCAGCAAGCCACTCTGCATCATTATCTTTAAAGAATACCTCACACAGAGGGTCATTCAGTGGCCAGGAGGAAGATGGACTGAGACAACTAATGTTAAATAATAAATCACCATTGTAAGACATATCCCACAGAACCCCAACTTCCACTAAGACATCCCTATAAAACAAAAAAAAAACAAAAATAAAAAAACAAAAACACAAAAAACCACAAAAACTTGATGTAAGATTTCTGCTTTAAACAGACATTCAGCAAATTCCAAAGTTCTTACGTTAAAAAACAAATATGACTGAATAATACTGAAATGATTAAATAAGTAATAAGCTACATAGGTTTTGGAGTTTAGAACAAAATATGCTTAGTAAAATGAAAAGCCTCTAAGCTCTCCAGTACACCATTAAAAAGTAATAGAAACTTGAAGTATATTAACGGTCAGTAATGAAATTACTTTGAAATAGTTTTAGTTTTGCATGAATGATTTAAGAACTTTTTTTCCTTTTCTAAATGTAAAAGTTAATTCTCAGTGAAATGCATTGAAATACGTTTTTATGACCAACATTCCTGCCATTTTACATCACTTAGTATCACTTCCCTGCCAGCCCCAATTCAACCCTGTAACAAGCAAGCGCATTAAGGCTCACATTCGTTCAAGGCAGGGTTAGAAAGGGCTGGGACTGTCCCCTTTAGAAATGCCTTAGCCTGGCTTTTGTCAAATGCTGAGAAAGGGTACCCCATCTGTTTGTGAAGATGAGTACAAAGCGTGACCTGAATACATAAACTGCTGAGAGTCACTCAATCAGCACTGTGAGTGCTACAAGTTCTCACATATAGAAAAACTTCACAATAAAGGGGAAATATCTCTGAAAGTCTTTGGAACTTTAGCAGTCAGCTGATAACTTCTGGTACTGCCAGCCTGAAGTGGATTGCCGCTAGCCTGTCCTCTGTCATCCTTCAAGCACCTCGCTTTTACCCAAGAGGGACATAGACTGTATGCAGCTGTGTATGAACGTCACAAGAACCCATTTTTAGGATTATTTCTATTTTGTTGCATCTAAAATAAGTTCAAGAAATTAGTTATTCAGAAACAAGGTATTCAGGTCGAGCAATCATGCAAACACTGTTTTTAAGAACTTCATTTGGCTAAAGATTCTTCTCTCTGCATTTATCTATGTTACTACAACGTCTTCCTGCGCTCTGTGCTCTGCATCATAAAAGATGCACTTTATTGCATGGGAGCCTTCCACTTTCGTGTTCATCCATCACCTTTTGCAAGCATGCAGTATATTTAAAAATTGAGCTCTCCTTTCTTGGAACACGTAATTGAGTCTTTGCTGCAAGCCTGTTTGCTGAAAGCCTGAGAAGGGCTTGTGAGCTCAAAAATACACTGACTATATGAAACTGCAGCACTCCTTTATAAAAAAAAATAATCAAGAAAAAGGTCACTGAGGTGATAAAGACGTTGGCTTTTGTGAAAAGTGTAAAAACAAAAGATGAACTGTAAAGATGCTTCTGCAGAGAGACATGGGAAAAAAGTGAAGCCCACTTTGCTGCTAATACTGAGTGCATTTCTCCAAACGGACATCACAGGCATGGTGAGAAAAATGAAGCCTGAGTCAAGGCAAAGATAAGGTAGTCGATTCAGTGACCTGGAAGACAAATCTGCTTCCCTCCTTTGTTTCAGGATTGACAGCTATTTAACTTCACTTACACAAACAGAGGACTTGTGACTAAGCAATGGGGTTTGTGATAACCTTCATCTGCATTATAAAGCTTTCCGATCGGCTTTTACTGTCTGCTTTAAACTCAAACTTAACAACAAACAAGAAAACAAAAATCTTCTACTTCTAAACTTAAATCAGTTTATGTTTGTAAATTCTGTGGCCGGTGGCTGAAGCTGCAATAGTTCTGCAGTCATTTGTTGAAATAAATTATTTTTATAACAACGTACACTACAACAACACATTGAGGATTGCACTGCACAGCACTATCTATGACCCACTGCCTCGCAGTAGGATAAAACAGTGTTGTCTTGCTGGCAATCTCATTTCATACACAATAAGGTAATCCAAAATTCCTGTTGCATACAAAGAATGGCCTTTAGCTGTAACATCACTGACCAGAAAGCAGTAGAAGGGTCCCTCTAACTCCCTGCACGGGCTCCAGTTGTCTTTTCTCTATCATTCACAGCTATTACAGTGGAAAAAGTCAGGTTGGTTTCACAACCATAAAGGAAATAATACGGATGATCTGTTTTTAAGACTGATTTAAGACACTGCAAGAAATGATGTGAAGCACCAAAAAATCCCCCCCAAACAGGTTTCTGAAAGTTTATCCAGTCACTGTTAGCCAAGAGAGCAGTCAATCCCTTCAGCAGCAAAAGCTCCATGATAATAATTTCTGCTTGTTTAGAAATAATAGCTGTAAACAAAAAATAAATTCTGTATCCGTTGTTAGATAAAAACTTGCTAATGTGCCCTCTGCTGTCTTTGCATGCCATACCTTATTTCAGTACGATACCACCCTGCAACAATCTCTCTGTGATAGCTGGATAAGCCACCGTGGTGAATTTGCACAAGCTCCCATCCAGCTCCCTCCCAAGCAGGTGCCTCTTACATTTTGCTCACCCCGCTTACGCTGTTTGGAATTTTGTTTTGGTTGCTAAAACAGTGAATCCAAATGAACTTATGAAAGTACTGTTTGCTTCTATTGTTAAAGAATACAATTAGTTAATTTTTGTAATGCCAATGGGTTTCTTCCTTTTGAGTTTCTTTCCTACAGTTGTTTAAAACATGCCTCCTAAGAAACCCTTTTCAAAATTACTCAGAGACTGTCATGTACATTTAGGACCATTATGGTATCTGTACAAACCTTCTTTTTTTTCTTCTCTTTTTATTTTGGTCACTATGCCAATTTCTGTTTGCAGTGGGGGTATTTCTCCCATAGAGAGCAAGTAGTAACACAGGTCACTTAGCAGGGCCTAACACTAGTACTCTCTAGCCGGAATTCAGATAGAAATAAAGGCAAATAAGCCTTCGGATTACATTTTTTCTCCCTGGCTCCTTGACTCCTTTCTAGAGGACTGAAAGGTGCCTCACTAAGGAAACTGTGAGCTGGTGACCACAAACATCAGTGGAGGAATGCAAAATACAGCCCCAAGCACAGACTATCTCTTTCTGACCAGACAGAATTAAGATTCAAAACTAGATGGAAGTCACTGCAAACATTCTGCAAAAGCCACCTTGCTTCATTTTGCAAGCTGCCAGGGGACAAGTGCCACCCCCCACAGACCGTGGTTGCTGCTGTAAAAGAAAATGTTTCCACCGCTATTACTGCAGATTCTCTGAGTGATAAGCAGTGAATCTGCCATTTCCTTGAAGCCCTTAACTTGCTCCTCCACCCTTCTCCTGTCATAATTCCTATCACAAACACATCTACCTGCAGACCCATCTTTAATTCCTTCTGTGTCTGCATGGTTGCATGTCAGGTATGGGATGCACTGGGGCAGTTGGTGAGATGACTGCACGCACTGGACTCGACTAAAATATCCAGAGATCGGGAGGGAAAATCCAGGAAAACTGAATTACAGTCATAGAATGGCTTAGGTTGGAAGGGACCTCAAGGAACATCAAGCTCCAACTCCCCTGTCACAAGCAGGGCTGCCAACCTCCACACTTAATACCAAACCAGGCTGCCCACAGTTTCATCCAACCTGCCTTTGAACACCTCCAGGGACGGGGCATCCACAGCCTCCCCGAGCAGCCTGCTCCCGAACCTCATCGCTCTCATAGTAAAAAACCTCCCCTTGACATCCAACCTAAATCTCCCCTCCTTCAGCTTAAAGCCATTTCCCCTTGTCCTGCCGTTATCTACTCTTGTGAAGAGTTGACTCCCCTCCTGTTTGTAGGCTCCCTTTAGGTACTGGAAGGTCACCTCGCAGCCTTCTTTTCTCCAGGCTGAACAAGCCCAGCTCCCTCAACCTGTCTTCATAGGGGAGGTGCTCCAGCCCCCTGATCATCTTTGTGGCTCTCCTCTGGACCCTCTCCAACAGCTCTCTGTCTTTCTTGTTCTGGGGGCCCCAGACCTGGATGCAGTACTCCAGATGGGGCCTCGTAAGAGCAGAGTAGGGAGAAACTAAAATCATTCTGTAGAAGAAAAAATTCTGTCTTCTGCTTTGTTTAAATTCATTTTCCTTTTGTTTTTTTGTTTTTTTTTCCCTCCAATCTATCCCAATACCTGATTGATTGATTTTCCATTTAATTTACTCTTAGACAGACAAGTATTGTAGAAGACAACCTTGCACAAGATAAGATGGGTGAAGATGGAAAGTACTAAGGTAATTCTGAAAGAAACGTCACGGAATGATGTGTTCCAATTCCTTTCCCAGAGCTGAAGAAGTCATTTTAAAACCTGTCTTTCTATTTCACGTTAAGTTTGTACTAAGAAAAGATTCATATTCAATCTGGCTCAATGCTGATGCTTACTTTTACAAAATCTTCTGATATTACGATAGACAAAAGAGAATATGAGACTTCATACGACATTGAAAAACAAACAGTCTATAAAACACAGCATGCTGAGTATTAGCCAAAAGTCTGATCTATCAATTCTGAGGTTATTTAATGAGCTTCACAGCTTTGCTGCTGAATTTATATCACAGAATTACAGCTGGAAGGCACTTCAGGAAGCCATTTGTTCTTTCCCTCACCGAAAGGCACACCCACCACACACCAAATGTACCTATCACTTCTGACAAGTGTTTGTCCAACACTTTTTTAAAAAGCTCTCCAACGATACAGAGGTTCCACAGTCTCCTGTGACTGTTGCTGCAGTGCAAAGTCACCACACTGGCCAGGAAGTTTTACTTTGCTGTTTAACTTACAT